TTTCCTCCTGCTCCTTCCTCTTCCTCCTTCCTCCTTCTCCTGCTCCTTCCTCCTGCTCCTCTTCCTTCTCCTCCTGCTCCTTCCTCTTCCTCCTTCCTCCTCCTCCTCCTCCTGTTCCTTCCTCCTCCTGCTCCTTCCTCCTCCTCCTTCCTGTTTCTTCTTCCTTCTGTTCCTTCCTCCTGCTCTTTTCTCCTTCTTCCTTCTCCTGCTCCTCCTCCTCCTTCCTGCTGCTTCTTCCTTCTTCTGCTCCTTCCTCTTCCTTTTCCTGCTTCTTCCTCCTTCTTTCTTCTCCTACTCCTTCCTCTTCCTCCCTTCTTCCTCCTTCCTGCTCCTTCCTCCTCCTCCTTCCTGCTTTTTCTTCCTTCTGCTCTTTCCTCCTGGTCCTTTCTCCTTCTTCCTTCTCCTGCTCCTTGTTCCTTCTTCCTTCTACTCCTTTCTCCTCCTTACTTCTCCTCCTCCTCTTCTTCCTTCCTTTTCTTCTTCCTTCTCCTGCTCCTTTCTCCTCCTCCTTCCTTCTCCTCTTCTTCCTCCTCCTTCCTCCTCCTTCCTCCTGCTTCTCCTCCTGCTCCTTCCTGCTCCTTCCTCCTCATCCTTCTCTTCTTGCTCCTTTCTTTTTTTCTTTTTCTATTTTCTCTTCCTCATTTTTTTCCTTTGTCCCTTTCCTTCTTTTCTTTCTTTCTCTTCTTTCTTTCTTCTTGTTCTCTCTTGCTCTCCTATTCCTGCTCCTTTCTCTTTTCTGCTCCTACATTTCTTTTCTCTTTCCTTTTACTTTTCTTTCCCCTTCTTTCTTCCTTTCTATTTCATTTTCTCTTTTTGCTTTTCTTTGTTTCTTCTCATCCTTCTCTTTCCTTCTCCTTTCTCTTCCCTTGTCCTTCATCTTTCCTGTTTCTCCTCATTTCTTCCCCTCTTTCTCCTGCTCTTTGTTCTTTCTACTTTTCTCCTTTTTACTGCTCTTTGTCTCCTTCATTTTTCGCTTCCCTTCCCTTCCCTTCCCTTCCCTTCCCTTCCCTTCCCTTCCCTTCCTTTCCCTTCCCTTCCCAAACCTTCCCAAACCTTCCCAAACCTTCCCTTCCCTTCCCAAACCTTCCCTTCCC